TATTTTTTTACCTTTATTTTTAGAAAAAATTACAATATATAAGAGTATTAAATAAAAAATTTTATTTAAAAGACATTCAACTAGAAATAACTAAAAACAATTTTTGATAAATTATTAAAATTTTATTTTATTAGAAAAAAAAATTAAATCTATTAAAATAATTAAAAAAGGACAAAAAGTAACCCTTATTTTTGAGACAAAAGTACGGTGAGATGACAAGTTAAAGTTGCACGACGTTATGAAGGGGAAACGTACAAATAAATTTTATTAAAAAAATGTTATTTTTTATTAATTTTTTTAAAAAATATTAATTTAAAAAATTTTCATTTCAAGATATTAATTTTAATATTTTAGTTAAAAATTTGTTTGTTACATCAATATCATTATTTAATTAATTTTAAAATAAAAAAATATTTTTAAATAAAAAATTAAATATTAATATTTTTAAATAAAAAAATTAAAAATTAAAAATTTATTTAAAAATTAATAAAATTAATATATTTAAATAAAAAAATATAAATTGACAATTTTATTTACACATTTTCTCTTGCCGTCAACAATTTTAAATGGGTTAGATAGCATAACTACATGTAAAGTTAAATTAAGTGATCAAAGAAGATTTGTGGAGCTTGTCTCTTTACACAGCTAAAATTTAAAAAAATATATAACTCCCAAGTGTAGAATTGACTATTGACTGCTTCACGTACACAGAAGCTCTCTCGTTTTGACAAATCATATACTCTGCTCCTTTATTACTCCAGTCTCCGTACCTGCCTCGCCAAATATGATTAAAAGAGGGGGTTATTCCGAAAAACAGTAAGTTGAAAAAAATAATTTTAATATAAGAGAGGTTTTAAAAGTTTTATTTTAATTAAAATATAAAATAATCTTAAATTAATATTCTGTAATGTCAAATTTGTGTTTCTCCCAAATTAAATATCCCTAAATTTCCTATACCCAATCGTCGCGGTCTTTAGCCCTCTCCCCTTCACGGGCAACGGCGCTCAAAAGATCGCCACCTCTGCAGGCGGCTCTGTCCCTGCTCGTTGAGAGAGTCTGCAAAAAGCAACGCCGTCAACGATTATAACTTCTGCATCAAATCCCTCAGCTGTCCCCACGCCGCCACCGCGACCAACCCCAAAGCCCTAACTAAGGTTGTTCTGCAATTGGCAAAGCAAGATGCGGAGGCTATCATTGATTAAATCCTCAATTTTATAAAAACGAGACGCTCACCGGCGCTCCATCAATGCTCAAAAAATACCGATCCGCAGTGAATTCGTTCAAAATGGTAACCAGTGAACTGAAGGAAGATCCGATGTTGGCGAATTACGACATCAAGGTTAACTCTGATTTAGCCGATTAATGCAGAAAAAGGCTATCTCTGACTTTAAAAAAAAATTATTGAGTATTTTTTTTTTCAACTCTATTTTATGTTCCAGAATTACGGAGCTTGCTATCAATGGCGGACCTCGAAGAGCACCTGCTCCGCCCAAACGTGCGTCGGCAGTCAACCTGCTTTCCGATCCCTAGGCTCTTCACGGCACACTTTTGCAGAGAATGGATGCCTTGAAGAAGCGGTGGCAAGATCTTCGATATTGGATTCAAGTCGATCCCGCTGGAAACTTTCGAGTCATCGAAGTCGAGAAGTTTACCATGATGCGTCGTTGCGATCTTCCTGCACGTGGTCTGCGCCTCGTTGACCCTCTTTTTGTTTATCAATAAAATTGGGACTTGACCTAGATCAACGCCTCCTTAAAAAATTCTAATTTTCTACTTAAGACGACAACTATCAAGAGTAGAAAATTTAGGGATATTAATTTAAGAGGGGTAAATTTAACATCATAACGAACTGAGCTTTGGAATCCAATTATTTGTCCCTAGCCTTTAGTGTTGGGGTTTAGTTACTTGAAAGTTTGATTTTTATTAATGATTTAAAAAAGATTTACCTTTCTCAAATTCCCCCATGTTCAAAAAAAAAAAAAATAATTAACATTATAAGATATTAATTTGAAATTATTTTATATTTTAAAATTTTCTTAAAAAATGTTTTAAAATTTTTTTAGAACCTTCTCTATAAATATTTTGTGCTGGTGGGTAGCATTCCAAAGAAAGATGAAATTTGATGAAGGCCCATTTGGTATAGCGGTTAGTGGTTTTACTTAAATTGCTAAATATAGGTATTTGGTAAATTTATATATTTCGAAACCGCTACAAATAAAGTGTTTGGTAAAATTTTTATTTAGCGGTTTGAAATTAACGAATAGCGGTTAGGGTCCAAATCGCTAACGGATTGAAAAAGCTAGTTTATGTAACTTTTTGTACCAAACCGCTAGTGGATTAAAATTTTTTAATTTTATTGACAAATTTATCCATTTTAATTTTTTAATTTGTGGTCACATTTTTTAATTAA